ATTACAATAGTACACACAAGGGTCGAAGTTTGATGAACTCAACCCCAAGAGTTTTAATTCCTTGTCCAACTTCGCGTGCCACTGTCGACCCGCTTGCTTTAGGCCGTATATGGCCTTCTTTAGTTTGCAGACCTTATTACCGGATTTTACTTGCCCCAACATCTTCCTAGCAGCGACCCTGATCCGATTGCTACTGTCTTCCGAATCCGCAATCTTTCTCAATAGGGTCTGTATGTTCCTGGGCATTTCCATATACACCTCCTCTGCTAGTAAACCATTTAAATATGCGGTGGTTATATCGATTTGGTGGATACTCATTCCGTAGTGGGCTGCCAGAGCAGCAGCAAAACGAATCGAACTGAGACGCGCTACAGGCGCGAAAGTTTCGTTATAATCCATCCCAGGCCTTTGGCTAAATCCGCGGGCAACCAATCTGGCTTTCCTCCGATTGATGGTTCCATCTTGTCCATATTTATTGGTCAACACCATGCGACAACCCACGACATTTCTTCCTTCGGGCTGCTCGACCAATTCCCAAACGTCCTTTTCTAACATGGATTTTATTTCATCAACCATTGCCGCAATCCATTCATCGGCATCTGTACCAGATGTAGCAACGTCCAGCGGGATCTCACTTGCGTACCCCAGAAAATTTTCTTGACTATTAACTCCTTCCGAGTACGCTTTTCGCGGTCTGCCTCGGCCCCCAGTCCTTATGATCCGAGGGCGTCCGCGGCCTCTCCTGGACGTAATACTATCTTCATCTCTGCGATCATCAGCCTCAGTGTTCTTTTCTTCTCTATGATCGCCATCTTCAATGTTCTCTTCTTCTCTATGATCGTCATCCTCAGTGTTCTCTTCTTCTCTATGATCGTCATCCTCAGTGTTCTCTTCGTTTTCTTTATTTTCGAATTCTATTATCGAACCATTGTCCTCATCTTCTTTTGGTGGATCCACTTTCTTATTTATACCTTGAATTGACTCTGTGAACTTCACATCACGGCTAACCACGATCTTATCCGTGCTTGTGTCTAGAAGCCGGTACCCTTTAGAATTTTCATCGAATCCTGCGAACCTGTATTCTTTTGCCTTGTTGTCCAGCTTCTTCCTTAATTCCTTGGGAACATGCGCATATGCTTTTGACCCAAAGACATGCATATCCTTGAGATTGGGCTTTATCCCGCATCATCTCTCCATTGGGGTGGTACCAGTAGCTTTGGTGGTTAGTCGATTCTGCAGATAATTGGAAAAATGGACAGCTTCACCCCAGTACTTCCGCTCAAGCTCTGCATCAATTAACAGACACCTTGTCATCTCCATGAGAGATCGATTCTTTCTTTCTGCCACGCCGTTCTGTTCGGGGGTGTAGCTGACTGTATATTGACACTTTATCCCTTGGTTTGCGAAAAAATCCTTTAATTCTTTATTGACGTACTCTAAACCTCGGTCTGATCTGAAAACTTTGGGAATTTTACCAAATTTTATCTTTACTTCTTGTACAAAGTCCTTGATCCTGTCAGTTGTCTCAGATTTATGACCCAATAGATATATCGTCGTATATCTGCTGAAATCGTCAATTAAAGTCAATACATAACGTTTCTGACCCGGAGTCCTAGTCTGCATTGGTCCACACACATCCGTGTGTATCAGATCCAATATCGATTCAGATTTACTGTCAGATTTCTGAGGGAAATTCCCCTTTACGCAGGTGTCACATACTTGTCTCAAACCGCAGTCCTTAATTTTTATTCCCTCTATTGTTCCTTTTGACACCATTTCCTGTATTGCTGCAAAGTTCCTATGACCCAGCTTTCTGTGCCATGTGTGCTGGCAGTTTAAGGAATGCTGACTTGTAACAGTGAGGGCCTTATTGACATTCTTTAATTTAAATAAATCACCATGCGATTTACCCTTGATTATAATCTTGTCCTTGCCTCTTATTGTACACATCCCCTTGGTAAAGTTAACCTCATAACCTTTTTCTGTCAACCTTGTGACAGATATTAAATTCTCCTTCAAATCTGGAACATAGAGCACATCCTTTATATGAACAGCAAGAGGATTTCCTTGAGGGTCTTTACACCAAATTTGTCCATCTCCTCTGCCTTCAACTTTCGCACAGGAGCCATTCGCCAGCCTCACACTATCATCATTGCACTTCTCTAAATTAAGGAAGAAATCTCTGTTATTTGACATATGACTGGTTGCACCAGAGTCGATGCACCAATCATCTTTATTCCAAGATGTGTTGCTGATGTCAACATGAAAACAAACATCGCTTTCAGAGCGAATGCCTGTAGATTCCACGCATACCTTCTCACCAACAACCCTACTAGCCTTTTGATTTGACTTGCTTGGATTCTTTTCCTTCCACCTCTGATACTTTATGCAATTTTTCTTCAGATGGCCCGGCTTTTTGCAGAAATAACAGGTGCACAAAATCGGTTTTTCTGTAGTTTTCCCTGCAGCTTTTCCTGGTCCGGATGTATTCTTATGAGTTACCTTTAAAACTTTCTCTTCTTCTTGAGTCCCATTTCTCAAATTCCGACGCCTTGCTGCCTCATCCACCAATTTCCCCTTGACGAGTTTCTAATGCCGTAATGAGTGTTCCGAAAGAGTCCGGAAGGTTACTCAACATTATGGATATAACGATTTTCTCCTTCAAGATCTCCCCCATGGCGGCGAGCCGATCCACGAGGCTCAACATCTCATGGACGTACTTTTCCATGTCCCCGTTCTCGTCTAACTTTAGGTTAATGATTCTTTTAAGCAAATGTACCTGGTTTGTTAAGGATGCTTTCTGGTGGTATTTCCTTAGTGCTTCCCACGCTCCCTTGGCATCGACAGCTCCCTTAAAATGTATGAACTGGTCATCTTCCAATAGAAGTCCGATGATCGCCCTGGCTTGACCGTCAGCTCTAAGCCATTTTTCATTTGCATTCGTAGGCTTTTCCTCACTTATAATATGCCACAGGTCCTCCTTAATCAGCAGCAATTCGACCTTATTTTTCCATATTTCGTAATTCGCATTGTTCAGCTTTGTAATTGAAAAACGTATATCCGCCATTATACAACGCCACGTGCCTCTGGGCCCATAACCTATTAGAAACGAGCTACGAAAAGGAACTTTATAATTGCTGTGTAACACTTCTGAACTTTAATTATATGACAAAAGAAAATAAAATACATCCTTTGGTATATAGCGCATTATAAATATAACACAAAGTCGATAGAACCTTTGGTATGAACATAAAAGAAAAACTTTAGGATTTGTAATGGCGCCGATCGATATCCGAAGTGACCGTTTTTATTTCCCACCGATCGACCATACATGCTAGATCGTCAGGCGACAATGCTACCAACCTCACTCCACACGCACACCGCTCGCAACGCCATCTACGGGATACATATTTCTAACAATAATGTTCATCAAACTAATTTTTTTTATCAACTTAGCCGTACCTAGTTTATATTAAACTATGTCTGAATGAACTTTCCTGCAACTATAACCTGTAAAAAATAAAAAAAGTAAACGTGACAACCATACCCGGTCTTCCCTATCATATTTAGATGTTGTATGAACATGATGGTTGCCCCGCACATGTCAAGTACTTGTCAGAAAATTTCCTGGACGTTGGATCGGCCGTGGTGGTGTAGTTAATTAGCCAGCTTGTTTGCTCGATCTTACCCCATTAAATTGCTTTTTATGGGGTATACTAAAAGAAAAAGTTTATGCAGATGCTTCAACAATACAGGACCCATGGAGGGATGATTGCTGAAGTCATTCTAAACAACTTTTTGCTTTGCCAAAATGTTGGTTAAGGCTTTGTTTTCGAGTTATTATCGAAAAACACTGGTCAATCAGAGCGCGCATCTAGCGCGGGCCGAACCGCAAGAGGGTTGGGTATGCTCTGCGTTCAAACCGTGGTCGTAATCAAGGGCATCGGCGCCACGTCGGTGTAATAGGATTCGTTGTTCATGAGCAACCAATAATTCGATACTATTATTCCCTTCTTTTTTAAATACATTATTCGATACAACTTTTGCCCAACGAATCCTATTATACCGACGTGGTGCTTGTGCACTTGATCACGACCACGGCTTGAACGTAGGGCAAACCCAACACTCTCGTGGTTCGGCCCGCGCTAAACGCGCTTCCTGATTGGCCAGTGTTTTTCGTTAATAACTCGAAAACTAAGCTTTAACCAACATTTTGACAGTTCTGGGCCACCCTGTATGCGACGAAAGATTGTGGATGCATGCTCAGCCATCAGTGTAGAGGCCATAAAAAATGCGAAACAATCTTTTATTCCCGTCCACGCAAGTGCATTGCAGCTCGTAGACACCATTTTGAACATCGCTACAATTAAGGTCGGTAAATTTCGATTTGTCAACTACATTGGAACACGTACAACGGCGTAGCATATGATACTCCTTGTAATACAAAGTTTTTAAATTTTTTCTCGACCCAGATAAAAAAAAACGTTATCTTCCGATATGTATCAAGTTCGTCTTGAAATCCTCTGTCAGATAGGCGTAAAAAATTGTTTATTTGCAAAAAATTCAAGGTGACCTTGAAAACACATGAAAAAAAGAGTTGACAATTAACTTTTTATAATCACGTTAAAGCTCTCTTGAAAGCATGCAAAAGCTGTTAAAAACATTTTCGATCTGACTACTAATAACAGAGTAATCTCTACTGATCACGATTGGTGATTCACCCTGTATATAAAAATATATGTTTTCACTATTTATCAGTTGAGTGTAAATGAGAAATATAGAAATAACAAAACTGCACTGCAACAGATATCTTATGATTTTACTTTACTTTTGTCAAATGACTTTACTTTATGTACAAATCACTGTATGCAATTTATTAATCTCTCTCACATCTGCTGTACCTGTATGAAATTGACAAATTTGAATTCTCAATTATTAACGAGATTTAAATCTGAGATATTCACTGATTTGTACTAATATTTATAACAATATATTTGCAGAACAATGGCAGCAAACCAGATGCTTCAATTTCCAAGGTGAGTAGTAACATTAAACAATTAATTTTTTGGCGTGTCGGTTCATTGAACTGAACAAGTTGCAAAATGAAAACTGCTGCTTTCACCAATGACTCATGCACAAACTATGTAATTTACTTTTTTCTGTATTTCAAAAGTTTTCTTCCACTTAATATGAATTTATTTTTTAAATTGGAACATAATATTTACAGGAATCCTAAAGTAGAGATTTAATGATATGATAACATACTTAATTTATTTTTAACTACAAGTTTTATTGAAAAATAAGAGTTGTTTGCTTGTTTTTCTTTTATATTCCAATTTTATATGACAGGCATGGCGAACTGGTGGTTTACGAGCCATTAAATAATTTGTTAAATTATTATTCATAAGGAAGGTCTCCATTTTAAGTTAAACCATTAAATGGACAATACATTTCAAAATAGATTGAAATAATGAAAGCACAAAAACAAAAAGTTATTTTCCAAAATAAGTTTAATTGAAACAACCTATTAAATTTCCATTAAGTATATTTAAAATTATTATTGTTTTTTGTTTAGGATCACGAGGCGAAAAAAGTTGCAGATTTGAATTCAAAGGTAACTATACGTATCTAGAACTAACTATACTTAATTTCTTATTTACATATATCAAATATAAAAAAATTACGTTACCTGAAATCGATCGTATCAATCGATATGTATCTGAAAAAAAATGTTTAGGAGGATTTCAAACGGAAGAATCTTTAGCCAAATCTAAAAACTGCTGAGGTTTTACCAATTCTAGGAAACGTGAAATATTATTCGCACCCATTTGATTGCAGGAGGGAGCAGTGAAAAACAATGAAGGGAATTCGAACCAGAAAATCAGAGGGGCGATCTCGACGTCGAATTTAACGAAGGCGGAAATATTCACCACGGTTTTTGGCACCCTCGTCTCAATATTCACTGCATTCACCCTTGCTTCTTAAAAACACTATTGACCTCGATTTCACAATCGATAACAGTGATTTATAATTGTTTATTTCTTTATCCAGGTCAGTGTAAAATTTGGTCAGAACAGAACATTTTCAATCTTGAATAATTTTTACAATTTTGCTCCTTCTTGGGAGAAAAGAGATATTTAGAAGTAAATTTTGTATTGAAACATTGATAATTTGTATTTCAATTTCTATTGAACTTTAAAGTAACATTCCATAGGTTTAATTAAAAATACGAAAGGAAATGTATTCTTTGAATAATCATTAAGTAATTTGAATATGCATTAATGTAAAATTTGGTATTTAAACTGACACACTTGATTGTGAATGTGAAAATTACAAGAAAAAGAATATGTTAAATAAATGTCATTTTGTATGAAAAAGCCTAAAAATAAATGTGTTTTTTTTTACATTTCGCTTTTTTCTATAGCCTCGTACTGACCTAAGCATTTGCTTTTCTGAATCTGGTGTCGTTTTCTTGAATTTTGGGGCCGATAGCGTTTATTAAAAATTCAAAATCTTCCGATGACATCCGCACAAAATTTTTAAAATGTCCACTAGCTTCTATCTGTAAATCTCTAACTAGTTTTTCACCACTAGAGGTTGCTATATTTTTATACATCTGACTAATCCACCATCATTTATCTTGATTTTTTCTTCTTTTTCTTTTAATTATTGTGTTTACGGTAGAAAGAACCTTTCTACATATGTAGAACCCAGATACAAAGGTTTACGGTACCCCAGGTAGAAAGATTTGCGCGAACAGCCGGAGAAATTTCACGTTCGTTCGCCAAGAGCATTCGTTTGGGCAAAATGCACAAGTCAGTACGAGGCTTATTGCAAATCATGAGAATTGATAATAAAAGATTAATAATCTATATATTAACAAAAAATTAGATCCGTTGACAGAAATCCAGTCAACTTTTGGGAAAAGCAAAAAAGCAATTTGCAATTTCGGACAGTTGCAAAATCATAACATCTTTGCAGTCTGTAATTTTATACTTAAGCGAATTCGTTTCGTCCCATTGGACTCAAACTGTCGTAACCTTTTTTTGTTACCAAAATAAGCAAAAGGCAAAATGAAAAATTAATGATAATGTATATTAATATTACTTCACGACAGTAGTTTAGCATTACTAACTTTTAAAACAAATATTTAGGGACCTCAGTATATTAAAATGTTGATAGAATAACTATTAGAAAGTTCAACTTTAACAAGATTTCAATCTTTAAGTACAATTTCAACATTTTTTTAAATGTAAAGGAAACAATTTCCATTTAATTATAACAGAGAATCTCGATCTGCGTATTTTTGAGATTCCTTTAGAATTTATTTAAAAAGTGAAGTGTACACTCGCGATTAAATCAGACTTCGCCAGGGAAATGTTGGTTTTATCAGGGCGTTTGATTAAAAGAACAGAATTTCTTTATACGCACTTTATTACGCATGTTGGTAGCAGAGCGTGGTTTTTTGAATATAACGGACAAAAAAAACAATAGAACAGAGAGAAACTGGAAAAAGGCGGTGCTGGCCACGCATATAAAAATAAAAGAAAAACAATGGCGCCATAAATGAGAAATAAGAAAGAAAACGAGTGTTGTCAATAATATCCAACAGGAAAATGGCAATATCCCCGGCTCCCCGGTTCCGCGACTATCGCCCTTTCCCATAAGTGGTCCCTGGGATAATGATGAAGTAGTCAAGAGGGCCCTATATGTATATACATACTTATGCAAATATACATATGTTACTCACTGGCCTCTCACCATTTGCGTATAAACATTTATGCGGGAGAATTTGAACTGGTATAAAATATTATTCATACTTTTTACTTTTATGTTAAATTTTATAATATTTAATAATTAAATGTTACATTATTTTGTTTCTAAGTCGCTATGAATATTAATATCGTTAAAATTAGAATTTTGAAAATTCTTGATCCCCTAGGAAAGCTTAATTTGATCGTCAGTGTAGAAATAGAAGAATTACGTTAAAAATCGACATGACTGTAATTTACAATATAGTATTTTATATATAATTGCATTTAGTTAAATAGTAATTATTTACCATGTTTTCTTTCACTCTGAATTTGGTTTTAAACAATTAAAATTAATTTAAATGTACTATAAAGGCATTCAGTGTCTTTTAATTGAGTGTAAAAGTGAGAAACTTTATTATAAATTATAACTGCCTAATTGCATTATACCAAAATGTATAGTGAAATGATTCATCTTGTACATAGACATACATTACTAGTCTTAGATAATAAAAATGCTTTCTAATTAACCTAGGAACGTGGATAAAATTCTCGTATACGTAACATAATAGTGTAGTTGGTTTCGAAAGGAAAGCATTTTGATGATTATCAGGGCAAAAAGCGATGCACCTTACGCAGTTACGATACTTTCTGCTCCTCAGTTATATAATTCTTCAATTTCAGTAGTTTCTAAAATTTACGAGTTACCACTACTTTCCATTGTCCATTGCAATTTCTCTTTGTTTTAGTATTAAAAACCTAATATTACTATCCAAATTTTAAATGTGGAAAGTCTGAACTTGTTTCAAAATGTGTTTTTTGGATTTTCACTGTTCCTCAATGCACTGATTCAGTTAAAAGTTACAAATATTACATTTCAAATTTTCTACAACACAACTGAAAGTCGATTTAAAATTTTGGATTTCCCAAAAACTTAACTATAATGGCTTACTAAATATTAACCCTTGAAGAACGGAGCCTGGGTCAATCGTCACTCACACTTACAAAACATATATAAGGATATTACCCTAAAGTTAAATATGTATATCACTTTTAAATGAAAGAACTTCATATATTAGAAGAATAATTTTTAAGGGAACAGTGTAAAATTTTTATAATGAAAATAATATAAAATACCAAATTAAATTAAAATTGATCGTCGCTTTCCATGATCGCCGTTCGAGGGTTAATACCATTTGTATTAATAGGAAAGTACATTGTTTTCGGTCTCTTCAGAGACATTTCAATATTTAATAGATACTAGGAAAAAATGAAATATCTAAACTCCTTAATATAAAATACAAAATTAAATTAAAATTAGGGCTTTCTCCATGTTTCGCCGTGCAATGGTTCAAAAGAAAATGTTATTAACCCTGAAACAGTAATGTGGTATTTTATGTATTATAGTATATACTACGAAAACTTGAAATTACATAAATAATTAAGGATAATATATTGCATATTTTGTAATACATAATAAATATTTTGTACATTGTTGTTACCTGAATTAATTAGATCCAACATTAGTATGTACATTGCACTTACACTTAAATTTTTAGACCCTATGTAAACTTAAGTATTGAAATGTTCTGACGATAATAAAAAAAACCACACAACCTAATATTGTAATTATTTTGAAAATTATGGTAACTTATATAACAAGAGTTCTATTTATCCTGCTATCACTCTTCGGGTCTGTATGATCCACAATGGAAATTACATTTCCATATATGTTATATTTTTACAAATTTCCTTTTAATTTTTAATTTTATATTTACTTTTTTAATATTATACATTTTTTATAAATACACTGTTTTAAAACAACATAGAATTATAACATATTTCAAGTGTCATAAAATGAAAGTGTAAAAGGAAAAGAACAGATTTTAGGGTTTACATAAATAAATACTTATTATGGAACCACATAAAATTAACTAATTCAATGACATCATATATGACACCATGTTAACGGTCAAGAAAATTATAAGAAAGAAAAATTCCATGAAGGGTGTCTTGCCCCATGTACATGTGTATCAGTGATCACGTAGTATACAACATTGGATCAATGATTTGCCATGATGAAAAGATACATACGTATAAAAAATATGGCAATTGATCACTGCTATAATATTAAAAATCAAATTTACTTAATCTATCACCACAGATCTTCTTATGAATCATCATAAGATAACAAGCCTTTGCGGACGATCGACGCGTAAGTGTGCCCAAATATAATTTGTTATAGTAACTTATAATTCCGTACATATTGCGTTATATTCTTGATACAAAACATAGCTACATATAAGTATAAACAGTAAAGATTTATAATGTGTGCTGTGTCTAACTTGGGAGTGCTCTTCATCTTTAAAGAATTAATATAGCGGAATCGTGATAAAAATATGCATTGACCAGTGTACAATTCTAAGGAACTTATGAGTACTTTAATTAATCATCCGGTTATATCGTAGCCAAAAATTTGTCACTTGGTTTTCTTTCAAAACTGACAATGAGAGGTTATATATCGTTGTATGTTAACCTAGAATCCCCTATTTTCACATGTAAAATTCGAAATTATTCATTTAGATTCTATTTACAATATGCTTGCATTTCGTTATTACTGTTATTGTAGTAGGCGACACTGAATATTTTGACAAGCTACTAATACTTTTAGATGCAAGTATGAAATGTGTGGTATAAATTAACAATGATGAACTGGTCATGGAATGAAGTGAGTCTTTTTTGCAATAAATGACAAGATTGCCATAATTTATAGTTTATGAATGTCATGTATCTTTTTGTTCTTTCTTAGCTCTCTCCCTCAAATAGGCATGCAACCAGTTTCAAAAATTTTCAAGAAAAGAAGGTTGATTATAATCACTATAGTTGATCAGGAAAACTCATCCTGTGGAAAACTGTGACCATTGCACAGGTCATCCAAATATTGACTGTAAGTGTGCCCGAGTTTTCTTCGTTCCCTAAAGAGAGTGGGGCGCCTTACGATATAAAAGAGAACCGGTCCAAGAGGTAATCGTTCCCACTCCGTCGACTGTTCTCTATCTCTTCCATTCGCCACGCGAGTTTCTTGCATTTCTCTCTCGGTGACCGACTGAACCTCATCGCCTATCGCTCTTACCAATTGTCTGCTGTTCTTTCTTCAGGATCGACATCTCTGTCAACAATGACCAAGGTATGAGACCAATTTCAAATTTGCCGCAATATTTTGACAATCATATGATATCGTATAATGCCGTCGGGTCATCAATGACCAACATTGCAAATTATAAATACTCGAATAATTAAAAAAAAAAGAAAATATTATTTTCAATAATATTATTACAGCAGTAAATTGAAAGCTTGTAATTTAAAATTAAAATAATTAAAAAATATATTATGTTGAATAACATCCTCATTATTACTTGAATAAGTTTGAATAAGTGAAAAAAGAAAATAGACGAATACTTTAGATGGCAAATTGAAAGTTTGTAATTTAAAATTTCAAAATTAACTATTCTTATTTTAAGTAAATATGTGTCATAACAAATATCCATTTTAACTGCATTCTAATTTTCTACCTTTTTGATGAATTAGGCGAATTTGAATAAATATTAAAATTTTAAGATTTTGTAGTTATCATGAGAACATTTCGCAGACTTGAAATATTGTAGAATTAATTGCGATCGAGGTAAAATGTAATCGAGAAAGGTTTGCAGTGAAAGTGAAATTTCTGTATGGTTAACGAGTTTTTGATCGTTCTCTTGAATCAAGTATGTGGCGATTTCGACATGTTCGAGGAGACTGTTAAGGAATTTCGTACTTGGAGAAGATTTCAGTTTCTACAGTATTTGAATCAGATAAATTTCGGAAATCACCAGTAGCCACTATTACAAACATAATATACCCAAATAATTAAAAAAAGGGGGAATAATTTTGGAATGGCATTTAATATTTTGCTAATAATGTAAAGCGTCAAACTGAAGGTTTAGATATAAAAATTAAATAATCATATTTGTAGTAAATGATATGTTAATTAATTCGTTACATTAAACACAATTTTTAAATGTCAACCGTTGAGCAGCGCAAGCCTGGGTTGATCATAATCCAACCTTACAAAATATACGTATACAAGAATATTAACCTAAAGTTAAATATGTAATTCTTAAATGAAAGAGTTTAATATATTGAAAGAATAATTTTTTAAAGGAGTAGTATAAAATTTAAAGAATGAAAATGATATGAAATACGAAATTACATTAAAATTGTGGCTTTCTCTGTAATCTGCCATCTGAGGATTAAAATATATTGAAAATTATGTATATAAAATTTTAAACATTGTCATCAATGTACACCTCCTGTTTTATAATGATAACTAGATTTAATTTTGTCAGTTTTTTTAGAATTACTCTATGTATGCAGTTTCATCTAGGATTACTGCAAATATGTCCAAAAAATTGTTTTGACATAGAGCAGAATTACCCAATATTTTTCCAAGTTCATCCTAAAATTGTTTTAGTGGAATTAAACCGGTGCCAATACATTAATTTAAACTCTCCATTTTGTTACAATTGTTTCAAATAATTTTTATATATTCTAACATGATGATTTGTGTCATTATTATGCACTGCCAGCATATAAAATAAATAGTTAAATCTGCAATTTTTCAGAAAATAATTAATATTTCAATTTTTATTACTATAAATAGCAGAAGTAACTGAAATCAAAACTGTTCTTTTATCAATAATAATTTAAATTTTGCAAAAAAATCAGAATTACTTAAAATTAAAAAGTACTTCCTCTTTTAACTTTGAGGTAATTGAGATTTACAATTACATGTATTGTGTTTTATACAAAAGAAATTTCACTTTCCCTTTTTGAAGAAATTAAAGGCAGCTGTAATTGGATATTATTCAATATTCGTAAATGAAACATGGTACTTTTTATGTAAAGAATTAAAGTTAGAAACAATTACAATTAAAAGTAACTATTTTTGCAGAACTATCGCAAAAATTTATGTTTTTCAACCACTTTCTATTAAAGTAAACATAATTTCTTTACGAAAGTCATTTGAACCAATTTTCTGGCAGTCCCAAATCACCGCTTTCAAGTGTCGTTTTCTACTATAGCGAAAGTTCTTCATTTTAAGCTAACATTTCGAAATTTCCTTCGAACATTCTAATTGACATGTCGTTCTGATCAACAATAATAAATACAGCATCACGATGTTCTGTTAGGAACAATTTAACCCTTGTTATAAGTTAAAAGAATATACTATTTATTCTTTTTTACAAACGTGAAAAAGGAATAGTAAACGTGCTTGCAGTTTTATTCAAAAAGAAAGAAAGAAAAAACACTCATCTAAATGAAAGTTATGATGATACGTCTATAGTCACATTACGTTTTAATACGGTTTATACATCTTTTTTATTTCCCTCTCTTTTCCATTCTTTCTTCTACGTTCGCTATAAAGGGAGAGAATAATTTAGTGCTAATTGGGCATCCCTGTTTTACACTCCTCGCCGTCAAAAAACTCTCTCCATACCTTCCTCCCACCCTCACCTTAAAACATGTACAAGAATATGAATTTAATATATTAGAAAAATAATTTTTAAAGAAATAATGTAAAATTTAGAAAATGAAAATGATATAAAATATAGAATTAAATTAAAAATGGGGTTCCCTCCATGGTTCGCCCCGTCCGAGGATTATTACGTTATCTGCTATAAGATTTACTAGTAATTACACTTCGCAAAACAATTAAGGGATCGCCTCTACAAACCCGAAAATTAGGGCGAGATTCACATGGTTTATAACTCCGACAAAAATGGTTGAATCGATATGATAAATCGATTCGCTGTGAAATCTCTATTTTTTAACCGACTTCGAAAAGGAGGAAGTTACTCAATTCGATCAGTATGTATTTTTTTTTTTTTTTTTTTTTTTTTGTGTTCACCGATTACTCCGAGATGGATGGACCAATCAGAACGAAACCTTTTGCATCTTGTAGGGTATGTCTTCCGATTGGTCCCATTGAACAAAAATTTTGCATTTTTTCATTGTTATTGCAAAATACAGGAAGTTTTTAATGTCAAGATTGGACGATTTCAATGACCTTTTAATATGTTGTCGTGGACATGATTCTGAACAACTCTTTCATTATGCATAATTAACGGAAAGTTTTAGTTTCCGAGATATTCGTGACAAACTATTGTTACTACTACATTGAATTCTACGTATGCCTAAGTGTCTCTACCAGTGCCTGAGTCAGCTTGCAGTCGCCGATTCTCTACTGTTTCTTATATACATGTGTACTCTGCAAGGCATGTACCGATTGCGATGAAATCTAATAGGAGATATTTCCGCAATATCTCACTTGTAAAAATTTATGCAATTTGTTATTGTTAATAACTATTGTTATAACTTGTATGGAACTTATTATCGTTAAAAACTATAGTTATTGCAATTAACCAATAAAGAACGGTAAACCACCTTACGGCATCCTACAAATACTGCTCGTTCCACTAAAAAGTGTGAAATAAAATAATTTTTAACAAAAAATACAACCGACTTCGATATGCACTAAAAAGTATGAAATAATTTCTACTTCATTTATACAAATACCCAACAGCTATTAATAAAACCTATTTACTCGTTAAATAGTATACCAAATACATTTCAACCTTTTCGGAGGCGGCGCAAAATTAAAAATACCCGAATATACGATGCTGCAAATAATGATTTGATAGGTTGCCGACGCCTGAACTAGAATCTTCCTAGTAGAAGAAAAGTTTTTAATTTTGCGCCGCCTCCGAAAAGGCTGAAATGTATTTAGTATGCTATTTAACGAGTAAATAGGTTTTATTAATAGCTGTTGGGTATTTGTATAAATGAAGTAGAAATTATTTCATACTTTTTAGTGTATTTCAAAGTCGGTTGTATTTTTTGTTAAAAATTATTTTATTAGACATTCTTTTAAGATTCTAGATATGTTGCTTTTTAGGAAAGTTATAGTGATATAAATAGCACTTAGGAAATTTTAACAAATTTTATTCAACTTTGTAATGTTGCATGGAGTAAACAAAATTCTTTTAACAAATTATATTTGTATCAGTCGAAAGCGGTTACCTTTCTCTGTAAAATCAGTATCTGTTAATTGTTGTACGATTTTCGTCATTAATGCCTAGAATAAATTAAGAAAGAGAAAAATGGGCAAATTTTAAGTAAAATTACAATTATGCTGATATCATAAAACAGAAAAATGAAAGCTTAAATTTAACAGTTAAATATTTATAACAAGACCATACGTCCCGCAATTTTACACAATTTTAAACAATCTTTGTTATAATGTATCTTACTATCCGTGTCTGTTCCCACTGTACTAGTCACTGTGTTGAGATTATTAGCACTAGAATTATCGAAAATTAGCATACATTATGTATACACCTACTATGATTGAAGTGTTTGAAATAACTGTGCCTAAAGGCTTAAAAAAACGATCTCCAAGAAAAAGATGTACCTACACTCGTGATCAAATCAGGCTTCCCCAGGAAAAATGGCGATGTTCCGGGTTCTCGCCCTTCCCTATAGGCATACCTGGGAAAAATGATAATGTAGAGAAGGAGCCTCACACGTAAACATTTACGTGAGAAAATTTCTTAGCTATATACTAAATTTTATAATATTGAATTTTGTTTCTAAATTACTTTTAATAGTAATATCGTGAAAATTAAGATTTTCAGAATTCCTGCTTTTCCTATATCATCATTCTCCCTAGAGAACATACATTCAAATATATCCTGCATTTCTTTTTTCTATACTTTCTTATATAAGATATTATAAAATTGGTGGTCTTTACTTTTACGAAAGGAAGACGATTCATCGTGCAAAAATAAATTTCAGTTGTAGGGTAAAGTTGTCTCATGGAAAGTTTCATTTTCGAGAAAACGGATGTTAAAAATTCCTCAAGTAAGGAAGAACGGAGTCAGTGCTGCTATTTATAAATGGATTTTTGAATCGCTTTTGATGTTCATAACAAGAATTAATTGTAAATATTGAGTGTGTAGTTAGTGGAATTTTTGTGCATCCGTAAATTTAATAATTAACCACTTGTTTCATAAACACACTTGTAAACCAATTTACAATTCAAATATGACAAAGGTAGTTCGCATTTTTATTCAAGTTTAATTCTAATTT